AGTTCATATCCAATCACACCATAAACTTTTCAGTTTCATTATGACCCGATCGCTGGCCAACTTGGGGGAGATGGATATGAAATATCTGGCTTTCTATTGTGAAAATTAACTTGTTAGAGGAGGCAGTCCTGCATTACCAATGACTGATTAACTTTCTCGAATGTTATTAAACCAATTCTCTTCCTGTACCTCTTAGTGACAAATTTAATTTGTTTTACTGTATTCAAATCACAGCCCATCTAAAACTTGAACAGCGGCTCACGCTTGGATATGAAATAAAAAGGATTTTTTTATCTCATCAACGAAATTTTCTTAAAAGTATTATTATTCACAAACGAATTTTTACACATACATGACGTGAAATGCTTCGTGTAGGGTGCCATAGATACATCCACAATAGAAGCTCGGATCAAGATAACCAATCCGGATGAACCAGAGCCCTCGATCAAGCTGTATGTGGAAAATCAGGCGGACCCCGCCATGCGACTTGTGTCAGAGATGATGATCCTATGTGGCGAGGTCATGGCCACTTTTGGTTCTGCAAACAACATTCCTTTGCCTTACCGGGGTCAACCTCAGTCAAACATCGACACGTCAGCCTTTTCCCATCTTCCTGAGGGCCCCGTGAGGAGTTTCGCTATAGTCAGAATCATGCGAGCTGCCGAGATGGATTTCAGAAATCCCATACGGCACGGGATTTTGGGGCTTCCTGGGTACGTACAGTTCACGTCCCCTATCAGGAGATATTTGGACCTCCTGGCTCACTATCAGGTACTCTTTTTATTTATTTGTCGACACAAAGTATTTCTAAATTGTTGTAAAACAAATGATTCTCGCTCTCTAATTGTTCCCTGTGTGGCATATTTTATATTGATGACTCGAGAACTCTGATATTTTTGAAGGTTTATATATGCATTTACCAAAAACCTCAGACCTTTTGTGTTCTGTTGTGCTTTTCTGGGGACCATAATTTACACTAGAAACCCCATAAATGATAAAAGCCTAATTCATCAATATAAATTCTTAAAAAAAAAGGGAAATCTGAAAAAGAAATTTGAAAGAAAAAAGAATTTTAAAGTGACCTAGAAACCCCATAAATCCTAAAAGTAGAAACTATGAAACCCGGTAAAATTTAGAAACAACAAAAGAAACCAATAATTAGAAATAAGAACCCTAAAAATTGATAAAGTGGAACTAAAAGTTGATTTTTTGCATGCTTGATGGAACACGTTCCGTTTTCCATGTACATATGCAGGTGAAAGCTTTTCTTAGGGGGGATTCTCTTCCATTCTCAGCCGGACGGCTTGAGGGTATAGCATCCTTGGTCAACGTGAACACACGTGTAATAAAGAGGCTCAGCTCCACCAGCCTTCGTTATTGGATAATCGAGTACTTGAGACAGCAGCCAAAGCACAAGACATTTTCCGCTTTGGTTCTCCGTTTCATCAAAGACCGAGTTGCAGCCATACTCTTGATGGAGGTTATAACTTATAACTAAGTAACCATTACATTATTTCTTTTTTCTTTAAATATTATTATTATTATTATTTGAAGAAATAGTTATTTACACCCCGTTATGAAGAATGAACAAGTTTTTCACACTGCTGGATTTTAAAATAACTTTTTCACCCCAGAAAGTGCGAAAGCATTATGCGATAGTTATGCGACAATTGTGCGAATGGCATTTAAAATGCGAAGCCATTTGCATAACCCTTCACACTTTCTAATGTGGATATGTGACAATTATGCGATTGATATGTGACAGTTATGCGAATTATTCGTATAACCTTCGCATTTTCTAAGGTGAAAAAGTTAGATTGTTAGTGGGTTTGGTGAAAAAACATAATATAATTTTCAGGTCGGGGTGTAAAAGAAATTCGCCCTTATTATTTTTATTCATAGGTTTTTATATTTGCCATGTAGGTCGGGTTACAAGCTTCTGTGTGGGTATCTGGCGGTGTAAAAGTCGGAGATGAAGTGAAAGTTCGAGTGGAAAAGGCCCATCCACGAAACGACACAATTTATTTTGTAGAGGCTGTCGTGACATAATACATAATATACGACTTTACTAACGTGGTGCGAGTTTCGTGCAAGGAAGCCTCTCGACTCCATACTAAGCTCTATTGCTAATCACAAATTGAATTCTTCACGCGACAGAGTTTAATTTATAGGTCGGTTTTCTCGTTCGCTTGCTTGTATATACCAATTTTTCGAAAGCGGTGCTTTTTTCCATATGAATATAGATAGCGGTACTGTTCGAGCCATGTACCAAATACATTATATTATTATTTTAAAAAAACTTAGTGTTTAATATTTTTGGGACTAGAGTATGTTTGTTTATGGAAATTTTTTATTTTGTTTGAATTTTTTGGTTTGGTTTGGTTTGGGTGAATTTTAAAAAAGTGGTATGGTTAGTTGTTAGTAGGTATATTAAAATAATATCTAAAATAAAATAATTAAAATTGATTTGATGTAAAAGTAGGAGAGAAATGATTGAAGTGATGGTTAGTTAAAATAATGTGAATAGATGAATAGTAAATTAAGGTTGATGTGGTGTGTGTGAATGATTGATTGATATTATTTAATTATATTAATAATATTAATGATAGCGGGGTTGGGTTAAAGTTGAGTTAAAAAAAGTGGTTGAGTTAAAATGTTGAAAAATTTTTGAAAAATTTTCATAAACAAACATGACCTTAGAGTTTCAGACCTGTAGAAAGTCAAAGCAGGGTATGGAGACTGTTTTGTCTTTATTGGTCTGGAATGGAATAAATTCTGAGTCCCAAACGTGGCCTTGTGGAAAAACAGCAGGCCTAATCTGCAACAAATGTAGTGTGGTTTTTTTGGGATGAGTTCACAAAATCTCAGCCACACGTTTGGAATAAGATTTGATGGTCAATGGGAACATTTCAGAGGTTTTTCTGATTTTTCAGACGAGCTTACATATGTTTTCTGGTAAATTTTACCAACTACATTGCAATTTCCGAATTTAAGAGATAGTTGAGAACTAATTTTGATTAGATGGTCAAACGAGCTTGTTGCATTGGTAGACAGCTGATATTGGATTGTATTAACGGATGGTTGATAGCTTGTTTAAGTAGATTGTTCGGAAAGCTGATTAGCTGATATTCGATTGTATATTTAGAAAGCTAAAAATTGTATTAGCAAAATGCTTATAAGTTATTTGATTAGTGACCGGACAAGCTGATTTTGTACATTATTTAAAATTTTGCTCCACGTTATTTCAACTCTCGAGGAAACTCATTAAAATGCTGGATTTTTTAGGACAAAATTATGCAGAAAAATAATATGAGTTTGAGTATGATTTCGCACTGTGTGGAAGAAAATGACCCAGCAACGGAATACATTTTAGTGACAATATAAAGAAAATGTTTTCTTTGAATAACACACGCCTATATACATCTAATGGTCCCTGAACATACCAGAAAAAATCAGTAAAACCACATGTCTTTTGATAAATGAACCCACCACATGCATCTCTGACACATGAAATGAACCAATTTGGTATGCAGTCACATTTCTGTGAATTCATTTACATTTTACAATTTAGTTATGAAAATATATATATATATCATTATTCCACCTGACAATGAATGAATGAAATATATTTTTAGTTAATGAATATAAAATATAAATACACGAATTTACTTTATGTTTATCTTTGCTGCATATATGGTCTACTTGATCAGCTTTTTTTGGTCAATAGATCACAGATGATNTTGTTAATGCAATTTACGGAACAAAAATGTTTATTCTGGGTAGTTTTGAGATGACTGAAATTTTCCAGAACTAATTTAAATGCAAATGAAAGTGTTTTTTTTATGATTCAGTGCTATTTGTATTTCATTACACATTTACTCCACCGAACATATATAAATTTTATAATACTTAATTCTACTATATAAACAACAGACATCTTTAAATTGTAATATACATGAAATTAATGATTAGAATTAATAGTTCACTGGGGCAACACATTGCTCATTTACTCAACTAATCTGTATCTTAAGCAAAACTCTTCATCTTCAGAATCCTTCTTTAAATAAAGAAAAAGACAATTAGAAAATCATAATCAATGATCATTGCAATAAAATTAATCCATAATTTGGGCCCAAACCTAAAGTCATAAACTAACAATAAACTATAAAACTAAATGCATTGTGCGTTCATCTGGGTCAGAAATATATAATAAGAGTGATAATACTATTAAAATAAATAACATTTGCAATTGCATGTGAGTTTTGGATCCCTATGAACGTACACTCCAAAAGTCAAAGACTCATACGGAAGTCTAACTACTATTCATGGAATAAAATAAATGTCAACCCTTAAAGGTCAAAGTCAACCCTATGTATGTAACACACACATATATATAAAAGTGTTTGTATACAAACTAGTGCGTGGCCGTACGATGCACGGGAAAATAATATTATAATTGTATTATAAATTAAATATATAAATAACATTAATCATAATTTATCTATTATTTTTAAATTAAAATTGGTTGAACACAGTCCAACCGGATGAACTGAGAACCGGTTTATAACCAATCTAGTTCGCTTGAATAAAATATTTTCTCTCCAATCCGTCAACACCAGTCAGTTGGACTGGTAGGATCAATATGATTTTTAAAATAAATTTTGTTATATTTAAAATTACATATTTAAATGAAATAGAGATTTATAAATTATTTATCAATTAGTTTAAACATTTGAATTTACAATTGTCTAGATATCTAAATAATACATTTTATTTAAGTTTATTACAAAAAGTACTATATATATATATATATATATATATTAAAATGTTTATAAATTAAAATCTGAACAAACCACAAATGATTTAATAAAATAACTTGATCGTTTCGATGACGGTCCAGTTTTGAAAACCTTACATTTACTGTACATTAATAAATATTATAATAAAATATTATTTAATTCACATAAACATTAATAAAATGATATATAAATATTCATAAATCATTAAACATGTTGTCATAAAAGTATTGTTAATACGATTATTTAAAGTTTGAACTACATCACATTCACGTAATAAAATATTTTTAATATAAAATTTATATTTAGGTTCAATAATCAATTTGATATGGTCGAACTGGTACATAACTTAGTCACCTAGGACCAACAGAGTTGTGTCAAGTTTTTTGACTATTTTAAATATCACCTAAAATAATTCAATCAACCTAGGCAATACCCTATTTCAATCGCTCGATTGATCCGAAGAAATTTTCTTATTTTCTTTAAATATATTTAATTTTATGAAATAAAAATATTTTATGATTCATATAATAAATGTCTACACCAAATGATAGTTTATTAAGATTATAAATTATATATTTAAAGATGAATTAATTATTTTTACTTTATGCATATTAATAAAAAATAAACATAGTAATTTTTAAAAAATTAAGATTAATTGATTGATTATGCAATTTAAAGAATATTTTTAGCGTTCTATATTTTTTTTAAAGGCACAAATATAAGGACCGAGATTCTAAAATTTTTGTTATATTTTGAATTGAGATTTTATAAATATAGAGACCGAGATTTTAATGTTGTTCGTTGTTTTTAAGCAAAATAAAAATAAAAATAAAAACATACACACTTAATAAATTTAGTTGAATTTTTTAAATAATAAAATAAACTAAAGCCCGAAATTTAAGGTAGCATTTAATATTGTATGATTTTTAAAGAAAAAAATAAGAAAAATAATAAAACTTACTATTTATAGGCTGCATTAAATTTTGACTTATTTTTTTGCTACTATTTTTAGTAAATGTTAATTCTTATTATATAGACTAGTAATCACCCGTGCGATGCACGGGGATATTAGTATCTATACATTTTTTTAAAGACAATTTTGTATATAAATTGTGTAATAATGCAATGATCATGATCATAAGAATAGTCATATAAACATATAATTAAACTGAAAGATCATATATTATTGAACACTTCCCTATATACAACATTATTGGTTTGATTCTTTGGCACGTCATCTTCGCCACAAATTAAGATTTTTAAATCTTTTTCGGTTAGTGACACGGGAGACAACAACATATAATTGGCCATGACTGAACACTGGTTTCTTAATAAATAAGGCAACATGAGATAAGGATTGTCTCTGGCTCTTGTTTATAGTCATGGCGTAAGAAACTATAATGGAAAACTGTCGCCACTGGAACTTGAAAGGAATTCTAACATCAGAAGGAGTTATGGCCATTTTTAGAATCAGCACCTTATCACCAGCATGATCTCCTGTGAGTATCTTACACTCAAGAACCTGAGTGGATAACTTTGTCACAACTAATCGTGTCCCATTACACAAACCCATAAAACGATCCATGTTCCGCAACAACATGACTGGAGTTCCAATCTTCAAATACAACTCATGATTGGGTATTCCGGAACACTTGATACTGTTCAAAAACTCAGGCCTATGGAGATTAGACAAAAAATCATTATTAGAATCCGATTTGCACGTACTGTCAGAGCTCAAGTATATACGACCATCCAACAAATTTAATGATGTCATGTACTCCTTGATAGACTCGACCACATCCAACGTCGGCGCTAATATAGCCCTATCCTTCAAATAACTTGGATCGTCGGGTGCCTCTTTATACATTAGATATGTGCTTTCAACGATCTGAGAAATAGGATCATCAGATGGCTGAAGCAAATGTCCTCGGGTATGTCCATAGGTGCATATCCATCAGTCGACCCCCCGATAGTTCCATCTCCGATGTTGGCTATCCAATCTGCAAACTGTGCAAGCTCATCACGTTCATCCGAATTAGCAAGTCCCTGAAGGCGCATGTTTTTCGTAAGCCTAAGCACTGTACAACTTCTCCATATGTCAGAAGCATTAATGGCAGCATTGACTATGTCCTGACGGCTACTCTTTGGAATGACAGGAAGGATTTGTCGAAAATCTCCACAAAAAACAACCGGCTTCCCACCAAACGGTTTGTTCAAGTTCAAAGGATCAATTGCTCCCATAATACCCATATTATTAGAGATGCACGAATTATCAATTACGCTAGAGGGCTTGACTGGTTGATGTTGCAAGTAGATTCTTGTTGGGGATTCAATGGTATAGCAAATCGAGAATGCGTTGTTCGTCGACCTGGCAACAAAAACGATGCTATTCCGCTAGCTGCGACACATAAGACTATGTCGCCTTTGGATCTCAAACCAGCAAATAAAGTCCTCCATAGATACGTCCTCCCAATTCCACCATAACCATATACAAAAAAGAGCCCTCCTTGGCCGGATTCAACAGCGGACATAATTCTTGAGTA